GCTTCACCATAAGTGTGGCTCTGCGTAGAGCTTCACCATAAGTGGCTCTGCGTAGAGCTTCACCATAAGTGGCTCTGCATAGAGCTTCACCATAAGTGGCTCTGCGTAGAGCTTCACCATAAGTGGCTCTGCGTAGAGCTTCACCATAAGTGGCTCTGCGTAGAGCTTCACCATAAGTGGCTCTGCGTAGAACTTCACCATAAGTGGCTCTGCGTAGAGCTTCACCATAAGTGGCTCTGCGTAGAGCTTCATCATAAGTGGCTCTGCGTAGAGCTTCAAGTCCTGACCAGATAAAGCTCGACACGACCCAAATTTGTCCCCTACATAAGTCCTGTTCCGTAACTGTTACGTTTTCCATTATCACCCCGATAAGAGTGGAAATCCTATTGATAAAATATAAAAAAAAAAACTTGAGTACACTTCACATACGTGAATTACCGCGAGTGAAAGAAGGATCTGACGAGTGAAAAATAAAATAAGACTTTCTCGAACGTGTTGGTGTGTATAACGTATGTTATTCACCCCAATAATCTTGCATTTAAGACTTATTATTGCTGACCAAACGAGTGAATGTCAAGCCTGACCAAACGAGTGAATGTCAAGCCTGACCAAACGAGTGAATGTCAAGCTGACCAAACGAGTGAATGTCAAGCTGACCAAACGAGTGAATGTCAAGCCTGACCAAACGAGTGAATGTCAAGCCTGACCAAACGAGTGAATGTCAAGTCTGACCAAACGAGTGAATGTCAAGTCTGACCAAACGAGTGAATGTCAAGTCTGACCAAACGAGTGAATGTCAAGTCTGACCAAACGAGTGAATGTCAAGTCTGAAACCAAACGAGTGAATGTCAAGTCTGACAAGACTTAAAAATTGTGAATAAAGGAGTGAGTCCCGTACAGGGTGTCCAGCCAATCCTTGTACAGCGCTAAAAAAAGCACTCGTAGTTATACTATACACATTTTGATCTAGTTTCTCATTTCTAGTTACTTTTATGGAAAATATTCGCGATTACCCCTATATATATTTTTTTGACAATGAACCTAATTCCCCTAGGCTCCTACAACAATCACTCCCACGCCTCCAAGCAGTAGCGTTTTCCTAGGGACACATCTCATTTCTCCTAGGCTTGCTGTTATTATGCTTCCTGCTCTTAGACGTACCTGCTTCTGCTAGGTGTGCCAGTTACTTGGCTTGCCTGCCCCTAGGTGTGCCAACTACTAGGCTTGCCTACCCCCAGGCGTGCCAGCTAAGAGGCTTGCCTGCCCCCTTGCCGTGCCGTGTCTAGATGGCTGAGGAGCAGACGGATTGGCTAGCGTGTGGAAGACGAAGGTGTCGTGCCCAGCGTGTGGCTGAGGTGGTAGCAGCCAGGGAAGAGCAGTACCAAGCCAACCTCCACCTAAGGCGGTGCAGGTGAGGTGCACTAGGTAGCAGGATGTAGGTACAGAAAGACTGAATAGATGTAAAAACAAAAACATTTTATTCTCTTGTGCAACATAAAAAAATAGGTAGTTTAAATGTAAATGTTCCTAAGCACAAAGGAAAGCCACTAGCATGTATGAACATTTCGGGGCAGAGTCAGACCCAAAAAGTTCGAAAATGCAACTTCCATAAAATGCATTTTTCAGAATGAAAAATTTTAAGTAGTTAATTTT